GTCTTCGATGGTTGGTTTGATTTGGACTCACAAAGTTGGGTTGTCAATTCTAGCACTGCAGTTGTGTTGCCACATAATACTAGTAGTACTACTATTGACGCCCCAAATGTCATGAAAGCGTTGTGTTGTGATCGAATAAAGTCGGACATCTCATCCGACTCAATTCTGATTGGCTTAAATTCGATCTAATTATCGTTTACTTTTTTTTGCTGCATCATTTGGGGTCACAGTCTGTGAATTCCGACTTCATTGTGCTCCTACATCCACAATTTTGAGAAATACTGTAACGCCCAATAAATATGGGTGCCGTACAATCCATTAAGTAGGGTGTATATGCGGGAATGCCATAAAAACCCGGATTACGTCTACGTTTTCTAGCCAGCCGTGCAAATGTGACCATCTTCATTTGGAACATACGAAGCTGACGTCCAAGTTCAGTGAAACCAGGATGATGGCAAATTGGCCATTATATGCCAAATGCAATGCAGCTATAGCCGTGGCCGAGGTGTAGGGACGACCCAAACCAGTGCCAATCGTGCTGTTATAAACGCTTTGGAGCTCCTGCACCGCGAACTTCCACTCACACAAGATATTGCCTTGATTCTTGGTCAAGTCTCGCAATGATCTTGTACACCCAGCTAGCAACGACAATACAGTACAGTACCTTAGAGCCTGGTACTACTGGTGATGTGGAGTACTAACCAACCACTACTACCACAGCCACACCCACAGCCACCACACAGCAATCACTACTGTTCATCCTACGCCCACCAGAGCAAGACCAACCACTACTACCACAGCCACACCCACCACTACTACCACAGCCACACCCACCACCACAGCAATCACTACTGCTCATCCTACGACCACCAGAGCAAGACCAACCACTACTACCACAGCCAGGTGGTGTGGAGCATCCGCCAGAGGGAGGATCCCCCTGACGGATGCTCCACACCTCCAATAGTACCAGGCTCTAAGGTACTGTACTGTACTGTCGTTGCTAGCTGGCGGGTTGCAGGCAAAACTTTATGTTGTTCACCTGCCAAGGTCATTGCACTTTTAACCAATCAATGGATACAGGACATTCGGTCCGACTTTCTTCTGTTAATTTCTCGGGTCTGGTTTTGACTTCGCTTTTGTATATAATAAATATTACAACGAACAAGAAAGTCGGACAAACGGTCCGACGATCACTTGGTTCCTGTATATCCTGTCCGACTTTTTTCCACTAATGGAGGACGATGGCCCGTTGAGGGAGCATCCACGTAGCTCCGTGCGTCACTGGAGTACTGGAAGGCCATTGCAACGACAGGGGGGTGGACATGTTGTTGACAACGATGGTTGGCTTAGTAAAATCATTTGACGTAACGTTAGCTCCGACTTTCTAATCTGACGAGCATGCATGAATATGTACAGTACTGTACCGCTGGAATACATCGACACCGACCGCTGTACCGGACATGTGAACAGTGTAAACGTGTTGTTTTGTAGGATAGCAGAGCGATACAGTAGTGATTATATCGTGCGATCAACATCGTTTTCACAGGTGCCATCAACCCAGCTAGCTATGCAGTTGATGGATCCCAAATGTCAACATCCCAAACTTGGACACATGTAAGGTGGCCCGAGACCGCACTGGCGTTGAAAGTGAACTAACTCGTGTCCGAAATGCACGAACTGATGTCGAAAGAGTACGAACTGGTGTTCAAGATGAACGAACTACTAGTAACATGGAGAATGGATTACTGATGGATGCGAAATACACTATCGATTAGAGTTCTATCAGACAAATTGGTCAAAATCTCGACATTGGGTGGAGACCATTCAGTCGAAAGATGGTTATTTTTGTCTCGTCATTTAGAAAGCTATACGTGTACATACTAGTCAGAATAAAGATGTCGGGGCCCAGACTGGCGAGTAAAAGCGGTGGCTGCCTGGGATTTCCTTCCAAGAACTGAAAGGAACAGACAACACAACACCGGCGTGCGAACACATCCTGTATCCTTTCACAAGCTAATTAAGAGCCTCATACAATCTTGCATGGTCATGAAAGCCAGGAGGTTACAGAACGAACCAGTGGCTGATTAATCCATGCCGCCACGGCGGCACCTAGCACTTGGTTGGAAAGATTGAAAATGAAAAGAGGCCGTGGCCTTTCACTTTTCTGGCCAACCAGAATCATCCAAACAAATGACTGGTACAAACGATCCCGATGTGGATTGGCTAAAAATGATATCCTTGTGGATTGGCTAAAAAGCATCCAGATTTTCTCAAGGAACGCCGGACTTAAGCGAATGAAACTATACTTTACCGGGTTACCCTAACACTAAATATGGATACAAAGCCCTCAACGGGCTGTGTCTTGTACTGCGTTGAGATAGAGCCCCACATGAGTTTCAGCCACTATGCGCCAGATCCAACCTTGCCACGATACGAAGTAAAAATGTACAAGTAGATTACAACCAAAGTTGACACACAACACGATCACGACGACTAGGCCACGATCAGGGGCTGCGCAACCTCGGCGGCTTCCGCTTCGCTCGTTTCCTCGGGCTTCTCCACCTTGGGGAGGGCCAATAAATATCCAAACCGCAATCGCAGCGGTTCCGTCTCCTTAAACACGGGCTTCTCTGTCTTCTGCAGATGCAGCAGTGCCTCGGCGTGCGCCGCGCTGGCAGCTCCGCCCTTCTTTTTGCCCTTCTTCGATGTCGGGTTCGCGTTGTTGTTGTCGTCGTCGGCGGGCTTGTCCGACGGCTTGTTGTCCTTGGCGTAGCTCAAGAGGCGGTCTCGGAACGTGTTGAACTTCTTCTTGCGCATGAGCTTCTTGGTCAAAATCTCGTCCAGGTTCTTGTACCCGCCAAAGTCGCGCTGGTCAATCACTTTGTCGGCTGTGGATTCGGGCAGTTCTAGCTCCACCATGAGCTTCTCTTTGGGCGCCGAGTTGAGAAACTTGAGCGCAAACGTCATCACTTTGGGCTCGACTTCGTAAGCCAGTTCCGGGGCAGCTTTAACCATGTTAAGGTCGGCGGGATGGGGGATGGAAGGGTTCAATGTAGAAAGTGAAAATGAGACTTTAGTCTTGGTTGAGAACATGCAGTTGAAGTTCCCATGTTCGTCGTCTGGGACTAGCTACCGCGTCCATTTCATTCGTCGACTGGAACGGGCGTTTGAGATTGGACCAATCATATCGTTGGATTTTAATCCTCGAAAACGAAACTCAGTAATTACTTACTGGATACTGAAACCTAGTCAGAAAAGTTACACAAGTAGTGAACCTTTCTCCATCGAGTATTTCGTATTACTATTGTTGCGCTATTTTGTGCCTATAAACACGACGTCTGACGTTTCTCTCGACGAGGGTGTGCATGGCCTTGCGCGTCCTCGTCCCAATACCGTAGCACGAAGGCTCCTATACAGTGTATCGCACCTTTGCATTCTTGTTTGGGAAGTCAGTCACCTTGCACTTTTACGTAGAGTTTAAAAGGACGAAATCAATTTTAACCAGCGCAGACGTCATGGTGGTGCGAGGCTGAGCTCTGCATATTGTCACTTGAGTTTAGCGGGGGCTATGTTCAACATGGAACCTAACGTTACCTCTAATACGAGTAAGCACAAAGCGACGGCACATCCCTACCCGTGACGCAACCAGTCGGCTCTTTCCTGGTACAAACATGTCTACATTCTTTAGTTGACTACGTACTGTACCTGCAGTTATAAGATCCGTATTGGCAAAGTCGCAACGTCATTCCGCCTGTTGTCCCACCCGTGGAACTGTCACCCTGTACGACATAGATCTGCGGACGTACCAGGTACTTTTGCATCGCATTGTAAAGCTAACTCGAGCTACCAGCTGCAAAAGGTTCTCCAACTTCCAACGGGGCTGCCAACTTCGCGACAGCAACATTAGTCTTCAGTCGTTATGCCACGTCACCAGTCGTAGCGACCTGTCACGTAGAGGAAATTCTGCCAAGGGGCGCGGCCTTGAAGTTGCTGTTTGATTTACCCCAGCCGCGTTTTGATTGGCTCGTTTTCTAACAAGCCAATCAAAACGCCCATGTCACATCCTTTCCAGACCGAGTCGCGAGAAAACGCAAATCTCAAGTGGCCGCTAACTTTTCCGTTTCACGTTGAAGTTGCCTTTGTGATAAAAGCCGCGCTGCTGAGTGGCAGGATTTACGACAGCAGCGTGGCTAACCATATGGCTACCCCTGCGTTTTTGCCAAGGCTGTATAGCCGATGTTCCAGAACTCATTGTTCAATTTGCATTGACTCCCCCAAACCACCAACAAACCAACGCCAACCACGATGAAGTGTGTTCCTGAACTGCCTTACGACGTCGAACCCAAGGTCATGACGTTTGCGCTCAAGTTTCTCAATTCGGCGCCCAAAGAAAAGCTCATTGCCGAGCTGGACCTCGCCGACGCTGTCGCCAACAAGATCATCGACCAGCGCGACTTTGGCGGGTACAAGAACTTGGACGACATTTTTGAAAAGAAACTGTTGCGCAAGAAGAAGTTCAACACGTTTCGAGACCGCCTGCTAACGTTCGCTAAGGAGAACAAGCCGTCGGACAAACCCGCCGACGACGACAACAACGCGCCCAAGAAGGGCAAAAAGAAGGGCAGCGCGGCGGCCGCTGCCCAGGCGGAAGCGCTGTTGCTGCTGCAAAAGGCTGAAAGGCCAGTGTTCAAGGAATCCGAGCCATTGCGCCTCCGCTTTGGATATTTATTGGCGCAACCCAAGCCCGTCATCGATGTCGTGGCCGTCGAGTTGGCCCAACCCGTTAGTGTAGCATAGTATTTAGATCCAAGGGAGAGAGAGCTGTTTTGGCTCTGCTTGTATCCGTCGTAATGAATGCGATCGTCTTCCTGACATATGTAAGGTTCCAGTACAAAGGGCTGGTTGTGGAGGAGCTGTTGGTGTCTTCGAAGCTAACGTTATAACAAGTACTACTAAGTAACGTTAACCTTACTACAAAGTATATGTTGCAACATTCATCCAGTGTAAATTGCTGATGCCAGACAGTACGGGTGTTGCAGTTGAAACACCTCAATGGATACGAGGGGTAGTAAGTATCAAGCTGTGATTTGGGACATGTGCGTTTGCATTGTATCATCAGGTATAAGTAGTTAGTATATTCCACGTACAAGAAATACTGAATGTATGCTCGCATATGATTCATTCACGTTATAGCTGTGGCGTTGGTTTCATTTCACAATCGATTTTTGATTACGCTGGCAGGCAGGCACCATGCCCGCCAGTTGCATCAATCTGGATCGAAAGACCATGTCAACCACCGACTGGATGTGCGCGCGTTCGTCGGCGTTGAGCTCCCCACTTCGTTCGAGGCTAGCTTTCCAGTTCGATGCCGTGCTTCCTTCCTTAAACTGTATCGAGCCCAAGCTTGCCATCCTCGCCAACGTGTCTCCATTCGGCAATCGGCGCAAGTCAAACCTACAGCTGGCGTCTGCACGGCCTCGCCTACGAAATGCCATCCACGTACAACACCAAGCTTTGGGCGTCGTGGCGGGGTGCTCCGTGGGTGTCGCTTCGGACCTGGCGCACGGCCACCACACCCCCCCGGTCGGGTTGGTTGAACTAAGCAATCAAGAGGGTAGCAGCAGCATGTTGTCTGTCCAGTCCTTGTGTACGTACGATATGTATGGACAGTACTGGGGATATACTACGTGTTGGCTATAGTTTGTAGTTTTACGGAAGTAGGGTCGAAATTGGTCGAAATTGCACAAGTCGTCCATGTGGTGTTGCAGCATTTACGACGTGTCACTTCCAACGGAGCGTCCCACACGTATTGCGAATACTCCACCGATGTAATGCATACATCGTCGTCACACGAAGATGGCAATCCGCGGAATACAACCGCCGTGTTGTGGTACATTCGCCGAATCGCCCACTCCTTGACCAGTTTTCTCGAGACGGGGTCGTCCGTGAGCGTCACTTGGTGCCATCGAACCAACGTCGTTGGCCCAAGCTACATGCAAAGTCGTGTCATACCAATATAATGTGCATCTTGAACCTGCACTGCGTTGTTCTGGGCTACCCACATTTGCATGGGAGCGAGAAGCCGGCGGTGGCTACGCAGGGACTTGACCAGGTGGGCATTCTCAGCCAAGGTCAAGCGGGTGTCTTCGCGAAGGAAGGCCGCCATGGCGTGCTATAACAACCCGTCGTCGTGTTTCGGGCGATTATTTGAGCACGCGATGTGACGCAGACGTGTCGCCAACGCTTCAAGGCCCGCCGCCTGCGTCTGCAGCCAAAGGAACTCGTCTCGCTGTCTCCGTCGGTGAGACCGCTGCTTTTCTCGAAAGTGTTCGCGGCGTTGCAGCACTTTGTCCACAGCATCCAGGATCAAGTCGCCCTCGATGTCCTCAAGCAGCATCATGGCTGACACTACAGTATGTCCCTACGACACTAACAGTAAGGCTGGATTCTGACATACACTCTGAACAAGCACTCCTAGTGATACTACCGTGTATGTCGTTGGATTGTGACTTGCAATTACTCGAAATTGCTATTATTAATAGTGTTTCTTAAAGAGAATTAATGCAGTTCGTACAACTTGAAAATCATGTTGAAATTCGTATTGGTGTTGATGGAAAATGACGAAAATAACCATAACGTTAGGCTGAAAACAGTTCCGAGCCACTTGATTTTATCCAGTTACCTCTCGAAACAGATATGAAATTGCAGGTGATTGGTTGATAATATCAGAGTGATTGTTTGTTACCAATAATCATGTATCGGAACCAAGTTGTCACGGAACTGCACACGCCCATACGTAGGATATCAACGATCGACCACCACGATTTGACGTGGACGAATGAAAAACAACTTTACTGTTAACGTTACACTGTAATATGGTGATGAAACGATCACTTGGTGAAATGTGTTACCAACATTTTAAGGTTAGCGAATCAAAATCCCTAGGCGAGAATGTTGGTTGGGACGTATGTTGAGAGCCCAATGGAGCCAAGAAGCATTTGAACATGCAAACAGAAGAGAGCAGCGTGATTGAAGAGATCGACTGCGGCCTGGTCCTGGATGCCGTCAACAAGGTGCTAATGCGTCGCGCGTACTTTCGTGAGAAGCAGCGGTCCCACCGACGACGAGAGCGTGACGACATCCATCAACTCCGAAAGCAGGCCGAGGAGCTGGAAACACAAGCCCAACGGCTGCGTCTACGCGTCAATCCCAGGCGGATGCAAAGCCGACAACCGCCTGAAGACAGCGACGGCGGGTTGTCTTGGCATGCCATTGCCGCTATGTTTCGCCACGAAACTCGCTTGACGTTGGCCGAGAATGCAGACCTGGTCAAGACGCTGCGAAGCCACTGCAGCCTTCTTACACGCATGCAGCTGTGGGTGGCCCATAACGACAAAGTCCCAGTACGTGTGTTTGTACGCTTAGGAGATAGCTACCCAACCAACCCGACTAGTCGACACCACCAACGAGCATTCGATGGGAGAAAGTGATGCTCAGCGACGACCCCGCGATTCGAAAACTGACCAAGGAATGGGCCACGCAGCAAATGTACCACAACACGGCGGCCGCGTTTCAAGCGTTTCCCACGTCGTTCGACAGCAACGAGTTTTCGGTCTGTGACCTCACGGTTAGCGACTTGTGGGTCAACTTTGTCGACTACTCTCAATACGTGTGGCACGCGCCCATGGAGGTGGCGGCGTACGTGCTACGGTATCACCTGCACGAGCTGTTGTCGACAAGAGACATGTCGTCGGTAAATCGCCATACAGTTAGTTTATTTAAACAACGATACAATAAACACAGGTGGGGGTATCGTTGGAGTGGACCGAGAACACGGTCCTTGTGCAAGCCAAGCTGCCGGACGGCGACTCCGCCGCGGTGGTCGTCGCGCACTTCCACGAGGCCGGCCGGTGTGTCGTGGTCATGCGGCAGCTCCAAAGCCGCGACATCTTGCGCGACGACGACGGAGTACCTGTTCGGGACGGCCAGTCGTTGGTGTGGTATGTCCTGTATATATATATATATATATAACGTATACTCAGCATGTCCACATGGAATGAATGACAGCTGTGAGAGATTGTCATCGTGAAATGTATTAGGTTTGACCTGCGTCGGGCGGACGACGGGCGCACGATCGGTCGGGTGAAAACCCTGAGCGCGATGCATTTAAAGACGTCGGGTGAGGGTAGCATGGAGGCCGTCGCGATGAAAATGGGGCTGGACTTGACCGACGTGCCCCTTCCCGACAGAGACGAAACCTTTCGTAAGTTTTGCATGACCAAGTCCAAAGAGTCGGAAGTGCAGATCCGGTCGCTCATTCGATCCGTGTTGGAACGGGTTCAAACCGAGCTGACTGTGGGCTCGTAAATCAAAATGAACTCGAGGGGGTAGTTGCATAATGTGGCGGTAACAATGTTCGTCAGTGGCAGAGGTACTGTAGCCACAGGACCATGGAAAAGAGCATCAGTACAGTACAGTACCTATCTTAAGTACTTGTAGTACTCCGGAGTAGTACGTACTATACTACTCCACGACCTTCATTTCTTGTTTGCATGAATCTACCACATGAACACTTCCATCGAAGAGTCCCAAAAGCATCACGGTACCAAGCCCTTACGTTAGTGACAAAAACGTGTGGCGGACAGAGCAAAAGGAATGCGCCATCCGGGAATCGAACCCGGGGCATCTCGATGGCAACGAGATATTTTACCACTAAACCAATAGCGCTTCGTGAAATTATGCTATTCTCTCGTAACTCGCTCAAACCCTAAGTACATTTTCGGACGCACCAAGAATCCGGATTTGCAATCTGATTCCGCAGGTAGTTAGTGGATGTAATCGTGCATTTTGACTAACTTACACACCCAAAATGTCACCGGAACAAAGTTGATATTAAAATACTACGTAGTATCAAGTTGCGTTCGATTTTGAAGTGGCCACACGACCGTTTCACTGGTGTGTTTGAGGAGGTCGTAGTATATGTGAAGTGTATACAGGGCTAGGTGTACACGTCCATGGTGTGCGTCCTTTACATTTTGTACAGTACCTGCATCCAACAACGAGCCAACACACTACAGTGACGCTAGGCAATCCATCACGAGAGGTGGAGAAATCTGCACCCGATCAAGTGTCGGCTGTGCGTACGAAGGTGGTATACATACGTATGGGCGCAGTTCCGTGACAACTTGGTTCCGTGCCACGATCCATGATTATTGGTAA